TGATGAAAACATTTGTCAAAAATAATATTCTTTGTTCACTATTCACTATGAAGCGATGATACCAAATAGCTATCCTATAAAAATCATTAGGAAGATCACTAAAGGCCAAAAGCTAAATAAAAATATTTGTGAAACTAGTAGTGATAACATAAATAAGAGAGAATATAAAGCATCTACTGTTATACCATATAAGAATAGGATATCTGTGACCCTACGTAGGATTCTCAATAAAGGAGGAATTAGGGTGGCATTCAAACCTACAAACTCACAGACAAGCTCTGTAGGTTAAAGGACCCAGTTGACCCAATTCGACAAAATAATATAATTTACAAAATACCCTGCAATGATTGTGAGCTACGTCAACTACATACGTCAAACTAGTAGGTCAGTGGTAGTCAGATTGTCAGAACATAAGAATTTAGCTAAGGAAAAAATGGTTGACCCCACGAAGATAAGTAATTTAGAAAAAAGTTCAGCAATTTCACTGCATGCATTGACACACGACCACACAATAGGGTGGGAGAGGTTTAAAATTCTAAGAAGTAATATAGGTAGGTGGAGGGAGATAGAGGTTGATTATTGAATTGTGGTTCATCGAGTCTACACCCAACACATGCAATAGTGACGACTCATCACTCATACCGGAAATGTGGAAAACACTACTACTAATCCAGTCAAGCGATGGAAAATAATGGAATTATATAAACGAAGTCATAAAGTTGTGTGAGTAGTGCATTGATATGATTATGAGCAATAAATTTCGCTCGAAACGTCATCAGTAAATATAACTGCATAACACTGTGAGACTTTATCAAAATAAAATTTTATCCACAATGGAATTATACTCTACCACAGTGCACAAGTTTTTTTCTTATATTTGTTCACTATTTAGTCTTTTTAATTTTTATTAGTTGTCTTCAATGAAATTTGAGTAAATGTGTTGACAATTCCATTACTGTGTAGGTTGACCTTCCTCAAAACTTATGTCTTTTGTTAGGCTTTATTTCACAGTTTTAAACAGATATCTTTGGTAACGTCTGTGACTTCAGGTAGCACTGGGTGACGCGGGTTCGAATCTCAGAAAGGACATGAATTCCTTCAAGGTTGCAGATACGCCTTGCTGACTGGTAAGTGCCAACTAGCACGAGATCTAGGTCAGGCAGGGTTTCCTGCTGATTGCCTCCAACCATCTAGTGGTTCATATCTTCTAAATACTTGGTCATCTCACTACAAATGTTAATTGCCGGACAGATGGTTTTATTTGTTCTGTTTCTTTTCTTTACAATGTCAATTTTTATTCTTTCTTTTATATTACTATTTTTATATCTCAAGGAAACGAAACAGGCACAACTAATTGAATTAAATAAACAAAAAGAAACGGACCCATAATATTCTGAGCAATCCTATTAATTAATTTTTATCAGAATAGAGTCCCATATGTATGCAGATAAATTTGTTTACGAATAGATAGGAAAATTACTCATCTTTACATATTTCCAAAAATTAAGTCGAGTTTTTTGCCTTGCAAGAGATATTATGACGTATTGCGCTTCAGGCGTTGGAACGAAAAATTTATAAGTATAACCTAAGAGATGTATTTTCCCACGATGAGACAGGGATTTAAGCAGTTACTAACCTGACATCCTACATTAGACTGTCACAGCCCCTACACTCTAGAGATACAGCCTCATTTTGAAAATGTTTCCAGCCAAATTATAAGATTTCGAAGGTAATTAACATGAAGCCATATCCAAATTTCTACCTCAAACAGTTTATCCCATGTACAGTATTCTGTGATCATAAACAGATTCAGTACACGCAAAGTCCCTGTCAAGCTTTCTATGAAGTCAATAAAAATTCCTTTATTTGGTTGTTCAGTAAAACCTCTGTTAGAAATAAACGACGTTTCCATGTTAAGGAAAACATTTGAAAAATGAGTAGCATTCACAATATCAAAATACTATGCAGTCATTATTTCATATGTGTCCCCTTGATCATCTTCATCAAAGCAAGAAAAATCGAAATTTGTAGTGTAAGATGTGCACATTATTTCGAGACTCCTCTTCAGCTACAGACAGTCTGACTTAAATATACGTGGTATTAAAAAGTAAGTTGAAAGCAGGTTGGTAACAATATCAGTGACTTTAGTCGCCTGACAAGTCAACAAATACTATAGGATGTAAGCCTGAAAGAATATGGCAGAGTTGACACTTAAAAGAATTGACGGAAGGCGCTAATACATACACATATCCTAATAAAGCTTGAATTCTTTGTCTAGGGTACCCAGCCTAGATCAGCCAAGGGCGATAGGATAGTACGTGACCTAATAGTTGTGCGCAAGGTTTGAAGGCTGTGTGCTATATTCATGCGCCTTGCTCTAATCATGTTTACCGCTTTTTACACTGTTGAAGCAATCCAGTTTGGCTTGCCATTCACTTGTTTTCTGCCACACATGCACCTAGCTTCGTGTTGGACTGCATGTACGCTGGTCTGGTAGACTCGCGCTAGGGTTGTAGCCTCAAAGCGTCGGTGGTTCAGTGGCAGAACGCTCGCCAACCGTACATCAAGGCTCGCATTCCGATCCTCAGGCAATATACTCCTAAATCTCAATAAGCTGACTGGAAGGCCGGTAAAGAGGAAAGGCTGGGTGCGGAGCTAGCAATCCCACCCAGTTAAAATAGGAAAACCCGCTGCTACCGAAACTTCAAAGCTCTAGCTTCAAGCGCCAACTTCTAATAGGAACGTAAGGGAATAAAAAAATTAACAAAATAAGAACAGCCATTTTTAAATTATTCTATCAGCAGAAGTTTGGTGTAGAGATCACAGTTCAGGGAGAAAACAGTGGCTGAACTGTAACGATGACGTAAATAGTTACAACTAACACATGTATAAAGCCCTCATTTATCATAAGCTTGGAATAATACTCGAGTTCTGCCGGCTGCCCTGACAACAAAAAACACCAACGTATCAGAAATAAAGAAGGAAAAATCTTATGCAACACCATACGATTAGGCAATTGAAAGTGATTTGAAGTCAGTTGCATAAGTCAGGATGAGTGTACCAGAAGAAAACACTCACAGTGATGATGACAATGATAAAAAGTCAGAAGTCAGAATACATAATTATGTAAGATGTGAGACACTTTTATTAGGGCGAACTAAGAGTAATCCACATTACAGCACTAGTCGTGCGCTTCATTAGTCGAAAGTGGACAGGTACCCATCTGAATTCACCTACAAATGTGTTAAAAAATTCAAATGTTCAAGTGTTGGTTTGTAGGGATTTGATTGGTTACAGGATTTTCATCATGAGCTGACATTAGTTAGAGAACAATTGGAAAACCTGGGAGTACTGGACAGCTGTTTCGTCCTAGTTTGGGACTCTTCATCAGTACGCACCCACTGGGATTCGAACCCAGGACCTTCTGGTTACAAGGCGAGCTCGTATACCATTAGGCCACTGGGACCCAATTCAATGGCCCATGAATTCTAACTTCTGCCAATTCACGACATAGCACGACTCCTAGCCAATGACTTCGGCGAGTATTTGTCCTCACACCCGACCTGATGCACCCTACTGATCACTACTTCTCACTAGAACCCCAGGTAACTACCTACCTGAATAGGGCAAGTCACTAGTGAGCATCTCATTGATATTCAAGTGTTGGTACATTCTGCAGCAAGTTCATTAAAATGGCTAAAAGGTGGTCATCTACTCGTTTCCCCGAAAACATTCTAAAAAGCCCGAGACCAAAAAGGAACCCAATCCCTTAACAGCAACATGCACCAAAATCTAATCGAATCAGCATACAAAGTGGACATGCAGATTTGCTTTTATCCAATTACTAACCAACACAGAAACTCAATTTTACTTCTATAAAGCTGAATTGATCGCAATCAAACAACTCAAAGCAAATTTACATAAAAGGAAATAAACAGTGATTGATCTTAGTTTACCCTGGTGATAATTTTTCACTTCTTAGATAACTATGTATTCCGACTTTTGACTTTTTACCATTCTCATCATCACTGTTACTGTGTTTTCTTCAGGTACAATCATCTTGACTCATGCAACTGACTTCGAATCACTTTCAAATGCTTACTCGTATGGTGTTGCATAATAATATTTTTCCCTCTAGGTTTCTGATCCATTAGTGTTTTTGTTGTCAAGGCAACCAGCAAAACTTCTCGAATATTCTTCCATGTGTTGGTTTGCAGGGACTTGATTAGTTGCAGGTTTGCTCACGAGCTGACATCAGTTAGAGAGCCACTGGAAAACTCGAAAAGTCGTAACCAGTGGGATCCATCAAGTCAGGTAGGAGTACAATTACTTGACTTTGACACTGGCTGGTGGTTGAGCTATGTACATCGTGAAATCTCAGAAGCTGAAATTCATGGGCCAGTAAATCAGGTCCAAGTGACTGAATGGTCTGCGAGGTTGTTTTGTAACTGAGCTTGAACACTGGAGGGTGCGTACTGCTGAATAAGAGCCGCAAACTAGGACGAAACAGCTGTCGAGTACTCCCAGGTGTTCCAATGGTTCTCTAACAAATAACCACTTTCTGTGTGTTTTTACGTAACTGTTTATGTCATCACCACAGTTCAGCCATTTCTGCTTCCTTAAACTACTATCTTCAACCCAAACTTCTGCTTACTGAATAATAAAAAGATGAATGTTTTTATACTGTTAATATTATGTATATTTTAGTCAGGCTATCTGTGGTTGAAGAGAGGCTTATAAAACAATGTGCACACTTTTGATACTGCCATTTTAATCCTTCTACCTTCAATCATGATTTCTCGCGTCAAATATGAACAACTCCTGTTTGAATAACCAGAATGTGAAACGTTTCTTAGAATGTTGATTTCAGCAGAGTAGTTTATTTCAAGACACTGATTTAATGAGAAAAAACCTGCCATTAACAAACAGTCTGTGATCTGTTGCATGGAACTGTGAAATTTTGTCTTTAAGGAAAAAGGCTCCAAGGCAAAATAGCTTACTTGAAATTCTGACTGAGCTTCACGATCAATTTCAGCTGAACTCATAATCCAACCAGTAACCGGATCTATTTTAAAGTAAGGGGTGATTAATTCATTCTTTTCCAGACTATAATGAATTTGGGCATTTTCTCCAACATCCTTATCCGTAGCATGTACCTGAAAGAAAGGTAAATAAGTATATACGAAAATGAAGAGGAAAAGGAAAAAATACCAAAAGAGAATGAATTATATATGGAGTTTTAAGCTCTAATTGGCCTTTTACTAAGGTTAGTGAGTAAAATACTGTGAGTCAATCTACTCAGGCGGTATATAAATAGAAGGAACTAATCATATTTGAAACCCACACCAAGAACAACATGTGTAACACAGGCCTGACATTAAGCATTTTGGATCATTGTGGTAAAAGCTCCCGAATTGTGGTTATGCATTCTGACAAACAGAAAAACAACTGTATGAAAGAACACATTTTACAATGGTCATATTTTGATAAGGATTCCTTTCGTATACAGGATTAAAATTACCAAAAACAACAAGTGATGTGAAATATAGAATATCGCAGCTGTGTTAGAGTATGGTTCTGTAAAAGAATAAGTTTAGTTTGATAAAACACACAGAAATACGGTTTATCAAACAGAAATGTTCTTGTATGGTATTGACATAATGAAGCAAGTGAAACGTTACCAAAATTTTCTTATGGTGATAAAGAGGTGTCTTGTGCGTAGTAGAGGTGGTTGGAGGCAATCGGCAGGTAACCTTGAACCTAGCCTCGTGATAGTTGGCACTTGTTAGCAAGGCGTAGGAAGGAATTCTTGTCCCTTCTGAGATTCAAACCCGTGTCATCCAGTGATGCAGTCAGAGACGTTACAAATGAGCTATTCGGGCTCTCGATTCACCTCCTGTAGGAGTGTATTGGATGCTTTCATTGGACAGTGGTAAATAGTGTGATGTGTCTAATCCTTTGTTTGGTGCACACTGAATTTTATCAGTCAGGTTTGCAGTGTTGTCATCACGAAGTACTGTGAACTGTTGGTATTAGATACGCCTTGCAGATATGCCATGGTGACGAGTGCCAACTAGCACGAAACCTAGGTCAAGCAAGGCTTCCTGCCGATTGCCTCCAACCATCTAGTACCAACAGTTTACAGTGCACCCTTGGATGGCGAGCCACCTAGTGGCATGGTGGTCACATTATAAACTTGACTGATAGAATTCAGTCCGCGCCAAACAATGGACTAGACATATAACACTAGTTACTGACTAGTGTCCAATAAAAAAACAGGTGTCTCTTCACTCTCATTAGTGTTGACCTGTGGTAGGATGACTACTTTCTGTTTCAGTTATAGAAATGAGAAAAGCATTTACTGTTATTGACTTAAGAAATTACACAATTTTTGTGAAAATTCCCAATTGATTTTACTAAATGCATACTAGGCAATACTTCATTGACTCCATTACTTGATACAAACCGGTTTGTTCAATGAACAACTATGTCAGAATTTTTAACTAAAGTTAAACAAAACCTAGAGATCGATAGAATTTGAACTAACATCCTCCTGATCAATGGCTGATAATATGATTATCTTTAATGACACTCTTTTTCTCCTCACATTATTATCATTCCATCGAATAAGATAAAACAAAACTTGTTAAAATTCGGATACTTATTCCTTAGATTATGGGTTTTGACGGGATCTTGACTAATTTCAACAATTAGAGTTTCATTGGAAACCAGAATTTACTGGTCAGTTGTTCTCCCACAGTTTGGGACTCTTCATCTGCGTGGATCCATAGTGGCACTAGAGATGAACCTGGGTTCTTTACATTACAAGGGCAGGATCTCTGATCATTCAGCCACTTGAGCCACAATTCAGTGATCCTTGAATTCTAACTTTGTTGACTTGTCACATAGCACTACCCTAAACTTATGCCATGTATGAAGTTTCACTTCACCTTGGTGTGGTGGACTCCACTTCCCTCGACTCCTCAGTGAAATGGGGACTTAAATCAAAATTTTGAGTTTTGTACTAATTTGGATTGGTCTTGGTTGTAGATGTCACTACGAACGTATTTTCCAGCTACTTTACAAGTAGGCGACCTAATCATAGTTAAGTATAATCCACTTACTGTCAGTGATAATCTTCTGTGTATTACACTTAATTTAACTGAATAATTTAAAAAGAGTCCTAGAGTAATTTTACTAACGATTTGTCTATACATGTCATGAATTCGTCTTTGTAGAGAAGATGGTTCATATAACCATGGTTTTAGAGGAAGCTAAACATTTTCAATTAGATACCATTTTTGTTATTAATCGTTTTCTTCAAAAGAATGGTTACTGAACAGAGAATATTCCTTTCGATGACCTCTTCTTCATCAGGTTCTACACTTTTATATACAAAATAGTGAATGAATTAGTGTTATTACCAACAATATTAATGTTGTTTAAATAACATCGAATCAATAATAATAACAATATCAGTGGATTACAGTTCGATGGCATCAACATAACAATACACACTGAATATCAGAAACATTAGGAAAGATAATAATACAAATTCATGAATTTATAGTCTCCACTGAAGGTCGGCCAGGGCAGCAGTAGTGGCTAGACTTTCTTCTTTTGCACAAAGCACTGGTTATTTCATGCGAATCGCGATAGTCCCTGTTGTTTGGAGTATACGGTACCAAGATGTTTTTGACAATTTATTTGGTACCCGTTAGATGATAGAGAAGGATTCTTCAATGCTGACTTTATGGCCAGCAGGTTTGGACCAGGTGGTTTAATAGCGAACGGTTGATGGTTTTTACTACATCTTTATTGAGCCACACTTGTAGATGTTCCAGAGCACGAAAAATCAAGTTCCTAAAGCAACGGCCGATATAACCCGATCCACATGCTCAGCTGAATTGGTAAATACAATTTGAAGTAGCTAGTCTAGGTACTTCATCTTTCAGACTTGGAATCACCATCAATCGTGTAGAGAATAAGACGTGTAGTTCGCCAGCATTAAAAGTTCTTTGAACTGATTTTCTTCATTTCTTCGTAGTTATTTCACTTGGTATGTTGCCCTTGAATTGCCGTCGAATATATAAAGGCTTCTTGTTTACGGATAATGAGTTGTCCCTTTCCACTTTCTTTGTCATGTGTTTCTTGATAAATTTGTCGGGATAGTTATTTTCAGTCAAGGTATCATATACTATCTTTAGTTCATTTTTAATTACCTCTTCTGAGCATATAGCTCTAACCCCGTGACTGAAGGTCCTTACTTTTGCACTGGAGAGGAACGAGGCTATGAAAATGTGTATATTGTCCTGTCCATATGCTTTTCCTATGCAAATTTCTTTTTATGCTACCATCTGGTTTTCTTGTAAGGAGGATATCTAGGTAAGCAATTCTGTTTTGGGATTGCTCTTCGCACGTGAATTTCATAGCCAAATGTACTTCATTGAATTCAGTAATTATTGTACACCTATCCGAATCATTATCACAAAGAATGAAGGTGTCATCCGTATACCGGCAATAAAATGAGAACTTTCTGATAAGGTTGTTCAAAGGTCCATTTTCTAGCTTACTTAGAAAGAAATCAGCCAAAACGGGACCCAATGGGGAGCCCATCACCACCCCGTCCACTTGCCTGTAAATTGTGCCATCAAATTTGAAATTTACATCCATAGTTCACTTTAATAACAATGCTTTTAGGATTTCTGTTGGGACGCCAATATTTATCGACTGGTTATACTCTTGTTCACACATGTAGCTAACTGTTTCTACTAGAGGCACATTTGTGAATAAAGCTGTTATTTTCAAAGATATCAAAGTGTTATCCTTGATATTAATATCTTTGATTTTGTCTACAAATTCGAATGCATCTTTGACGCTATGTTTATCCATCTGCTCGAGCAAAGGTTTCAGAATATACACTAACCGTGTTGCTAGATCATGGGAGGGCGAATTTCGCATATGAAATATTCATCTTAACGGTTATTATTGATTCGGAGGTATTTAAACAACATTAATTTCATTAATAACACTAATTCATTTACTATTATTATTATTTTGATTATAGCTTGATTCAACACCGTATTTTTGGTACAGGTATGGAATTTTCAGCATGTGATATCGGTAGCCCGAATTTTGCAGGCCAACCAGGTGATATCGGGTGTGCGTCAGCATGGGATACAACGCCGGACCGTGTGAATGGTCGGCGAGAGTCCTAACCGCTTTGCCACTCACGCTAAAGATTTCGTTAACCATAGTAACAAACGTTGAAGGTGAGTCACGTGAAGGATTCTCACTCACCGAAATATCATAGATATTATTTGTTTCTCATAAACACTATATACTATCAAGTTGTACAAGAAAAGAGATTTCTGACAACAAATGACTGTCTGGAAAAAAGACCAACACGATTTGTGTATTTTACCAAATAGTGACGCAAATGTCTGACAGAAATTCTCAACCGACGATTTTAGAACAAGTGCCTTGTGAAAAAAACAACTCATAACACCGACTATTCCCATAATTAGTGATTATGCCTTTCGAGACCTCATTACTTAGTTATCATTATTATGTAGAAGAAACCCGCTGAATTATTGTCAGTAAAAAGTTGGAGCATTGTGGAATAGATCAAATAAAGTATAATCATATTTCAATAGTTTACACACAATGATAAGTTTTGTTATTGGTAATATTTTGAGCGACGAGTGGGTCTTCAATGCGAGGGCGACATGGAGGAGATCGTGAGAGAAGGAGACAAGAGGTTATGGTAAATCGTTAACCCAGATAAGGAGGACAGCAGAAAATAGAACACAATGGAGATATGCTGGTGAAGCCACATGCTCCACTCGAAATTCAAGGGAATAATAATGACTGTAGAACCCAGTGATGAAGTTATCGAAAAGCATATTTTTTGTTCAGTAACCATTCTTTTGAAAAAAATAATCATTTTATCAGCATCTCTGTTGTCCTGATTACTGACTGCATGCATCCACATTTCATATTCTTCTGAGTTTTACTCACTTCCGCTAAGTGACGTACTAACCGAACCAGTTAGTATCTTTCCAATGCACCTATATGAGTGTGATTATATTACAAAATCCTGTCATCCACTTCAATGTTTATTTTTGTCATAAATTTCATAGCATCAGTTTCAAAC